CTCATCCCAATAAATGTATGGAAGAGTCCACTAAAGTTACCTAGGGGTGAAAGGGTTAAGGATCACTGTCCCACTGGATGCAAAACACTAGAGAAGTCCACTGATTTTTCACATATATACAGTAGCCTCCCCTTAATTTCTTTTTCAAAATAGCTATAGTGCAATTAGGCCAGGACACTAAATCCTTTGACCATGTGTAGCTCAGTTGGTTTGAGAGACAAAACAATCTGAGGTCCAGGGTTCAAGTCCTGGTCTGACCTTGCAGAATTGTTTACACTCAGAGCACTGTTGTAGATTATATCTTATTTATTTCATATTTACCAATTTTTCATAAAAGTCCAGCTAAATATGGTTTTCTTTTCAGGAATAATTTATCAAAGCTATAGTCATCCCAGAGAGAGAAAAAAAAGTTTCCAATGCGTAGTTATGTTTTTTAGCAGTGGTACGGGGATCCTTAAACCACGACTTTACAGCCATTGTTATTGTGACTTAGCAGTGGTACGGGGATCCTTAAACCTCGACTTTACAGCCATTGTTATTGTGACTTAGCAGTGGTACGGGGATCCTTAAACCTCGACTTTACAGCCATTGTTATTGTGACTTAGCAGTGGTACGGGGATCCTTAAACCTCGACTTTACAGCCATTGTTATTGTGACTTAGCAGTGGTACGGGGATCCTTAAACCTCGACTTTACAGCCATTGTTATTGTGACTTAGCAGTGGTACGGGGATCCTTAAACCTCGACTTTACAGCCATTGTTATTGTGACTTAGCAGTGGTACGGGGATCCTTAAACCTCGACTTTACAGCCATTGTTATTGTGACTTTGCAGTGGTACAGGGATTCTTAAACCTCGACTTTACAGCCATTGTTATTGTGACTTTGCAGTGGTACAGGGATTCTTAAACCTCGACTTTACAGCCAATATCTTGTATGAGACTGAATGATTCGATCAGTCTCTCCTGATGTCAGTAAAGACAGATCTCAACAAAGATATAAACGTTTCTGGCCAGTTACTGTGGATCAACAATGTCAGGATTCAGTTTTCTGTTATTATTAACTCATTCACCCCTGAAATTTCATAATGAACTAATCCAACCTTTGAATTGGAGGAGTTCAAATGTGTCTAACGAGTTCAATACAAAATAGATTTCATTGAAGTAAATAAAAATTAAATTGTAAAAACTGATTTCAGTTCCAGTCAATAGACTGTCAAGATCCCTGGCTACTTAAACGTGAATATATTTTGGCTAGTTCACAAGTGATGCTACAGTAACTGTCCAGTTTAACAGAAATCATTGATTCACTCTACCCCTGGTGACTCGTTTCTATGATCAAAGAGGTAAAATCTGAAATTAAGAAAGTTGTAAATTTAAATGAATTTTTGTCAACTTGTTTCATCGATATTTTACATGAAACAGCAACGAAAAAGTAATAACACATACAAAATACCTTTATACAATTGAAATCTGATAACTTTAAGAAAGTAGAAAAATTGCATACATTAAATTGAATTTGCCTTTGAACAACTATCATTTCTATTCAACATTTATTGTCAGGTGAGAAATTAAAAAAAGAATGTATACCTGTTACAATAAATCTTACAGGGAAATAATGAATATCATCTATTATTTTCAATGAATGAAACGAAACAGGTTATGAAAATCCTCCAATTTAATTTTCAATATGAAATTTGAGAAAAAGTGCATCGCTATAAATCATTTGATTTAAAATAAAGTTGTAGTGTTTAGTACCTCCAGTGCTTATTAACAAATAATGATTTCCTTCCTCCTTGAAATCGTAAATTAGAATCTGAGCCAATAAAAAAGTGTCTACTTAAATTCTCACAAAAATTCAAGGCCACTCCCAAAGATCAGTGGTGGATCCACAGAAATAATGATATTACAGTACACGTTTCCACACTTCAGTGTGAGTGATTGCAACACAGCTAGCATTGAAATGTGCTCTATCCCTTCTAATTGTCTCATGTTAATTTAAACCACACTAAGGTACTGGTGTCTAATTGATATTACAGATAATAAGTGCCCAACTGTTGTATTGTTCCACAAACTGATTACAAATCATCCAAAACGTACAGCATCTAATACCCTAAAACAGTATAATGTGACCGGGTGGGGTGTCCTGCTGGGTGTTTTCGGCAGTATGCTTTAGTGAGGTAGCGCTATTAAGTCGGCGTCAGTTCCGCGCTATCACAAGGAGACAAACAACAACATATCTCAGCCTCCCAAAACACACACGCATACACTACACGCGTGCATCTTGCACACAGTGGAGGCCGTCCTTAAATGACCATAGCTGTTGATAGGACGTTAAACAATACTTAAAACCAAACCAAACCAAACTAATACCCTAAAACAAGTATCGTTCAACAATACAGTTCCTTGTTCACTTCAAATTCTGTCTTCATTACTTCATACAGTTATGACTGACACAATTTATCCAGTGAAACTTGCCAATATAAAAAAGTTTGACAATATATAAAAGTAATGGTAGATACATTTTTATTTTTTTTATTTTCCTTTAAGCAGGTTTAACTGTTTTGAATATTTAAATAAACAAATATTTTATTTTACACAAACTGTATTTAAGCATGTTTGCTCGTTATTTTTCTAATGTCGTTTAATTTTCATTTTAGTATTATATGGCATATGATATCTTAAACTGGGCTTAAAAATAATATTTGACCCTCAAAATTCCAATACTTGAATAAAAAATGTCAAAAAATACGACAAATAATTACTGATTCTTCCAGAAATTTTTATAGGGTTTTTAAAGAAGAACATATTATTTTCATTTTTCCAAGATGACATTTTGCACTTTGTACACTTTGTGAATGAAAAATTTGTATTCTATCGTATAGAAAGGGCTTTCTTTCTCGGTTTTAATAACTGCAGAATAATTTTTGTTAGAAAAGAGCCTCACAATTAAATTTTATCAGATGATATGAAATTAAACTTTCATTCATGCTGCAGTCTGACCACCTTTTTTCTATCAGATACCCATTTTTTAGTTGACTTCCCTGAAAAATATTAGACAATTCAATTGACATTTTTTTATTTTTTTTGCAGAATGTATTGAAATTACTTTAATTGTGGAAAAAGAAATTTGTGATTATTTTAAGAGTTTGGCGTTGCTATGAATCTGAATCCCAAACTTCCCTCACACTTCATCATACTTTTGAATAGGTCTGTAAAAAGGATGAGCAAGTATCCTCAATATCTTTAAAAAAAAATATGTACAGCTCCCCCCCCCCAACCCCTTAATTTGGCAGAAACAAATTACACTTTACACTTAAAAGTCAATTGTAAAAGATAAAGTCTGTAATACAACCTTAGAAATCACTCAATTCTGAAGGCCCTGAAATGTGATAACAACCAATTCTTGAAAAAATATCAAATTATGTTTTCCTGAAACTGGCACTCAAGTCCTAATTAACTTTATGTACAAACTTTTGAAGAATTTCAAGTCTTAATTAGCGTTATGTTGAAGCTTTCTAAAAAAAAACTGAAATGTATGTGATTATACATGAAGGGCATATTAGATTTGGAAATAATTAGTTTCTGTGGAAAATCTGATGAAACAAATGTTCTACATCAACTTCATTTTAAGTTAAATGTCTCCATTATTTTTGGTGACATTTCAAAATCCATAGTGCTGCAGAATTTTTAATTGGCAAAATGTGGTGACTTTTTTTTTTTATAAAATTCTATTTTCTTATTCCCCCCCCCCCCATAATGTATAGCACTATGCAATGTTTCTCTATGAAACAAACATGCAAAAATGCCAAAGTCAGTGAAACATAAAATACAGGTCACAGTGACCTACATTTGACATACTGGTGTTTTACTCCTCAAGACTTTGCCCATCTAAGGCCAGACAAAAAAAATATGTGTTTCCTGTAACATGTTGGAAACATTGAGAGTAGGTAGGTAGGTAGGTAGGTAGGTAGGTTACAAGTTTTATTTTTCAAATAATTTATGTGGTTTATATATAGGAGAATGGTCTTGACTTTAACAGTGCTTCTTTGAAAATTGTCTTATAAAGTTTAGGGTAGGCACAAAAAATTAGGGTAGGTATAGGGTTACCAGATACACCAACTATTTTTTGTTTGGCCTAGGAGGTCTGGGGACTGTTGGACTTCTTGTATATATGAGATAAGTAAAGTTTTAAACCAAGATGTTGTAACAAAGGACCAATAGAAAAACAAACACGTTATGCCTCCTCCACTAATGGACAAAATTACTTCCTGCATCAATAGGATCAGGACATACCTGAACGATACACTGTTTTTAAGTAGGTGAAAAAGCCTGCCATGAAAAGATATCAAGCACATGAATACAGCTGAAAACAAACATACTGATACACAAGATTTTTCAACTGAACTTTTGATTGCAATAAAAGGTATGACCAATTTTTTTTTATTTTTTTTTTTATTAATTTGAACTCTTTGTTCCATTGTTCGAACTAAACAAAATAAATCAAAATAATGATTTTTTTTTTATAGCTTGGACATATGAGTATCAAGATTTCATTTTGGAAATTCCATACATGCACACAGGTTTACCAATCGCAGCCTGAGCTGACAATGCTGTATTTTGAATTATTTTTGTGTTATTAAAACTACACGAGACTATCACATGTAAGTAGACCATACAATTATAGCTGGGATCAAGCACATGCCATGATATTGTAGACATTTTGCATTAGGAGGAAAGAAAACTTTGAGGTGATCACAGGAAATAGTGGGTTACTGATAACAATGCTGTGATATAATGACAAATAAAGTATACCGTTATAACCTCAACTAAATATAATACACAGGTCATAGACAAACAAGGGAGACAATCAGGACGCTGAAAACACGGAGGTGAATATAATGTACAAGTCATTTGATTTTGGAACGAAAATGGTAATATGTACGAATATATCATAATTACAGCAAATAAAAATGACAGCAAGAGTCAGTACTTAATACATACCCTGGCGATTAGCTGTGAGATCTGTCAAAGTACTCACAATCGTTATTCACTATCCAATTACAGATCTTACGACAAGTTCCCATTAGAATCACCCATAAATCCTTTCCTGTACAACATTTCTGCTAAATCGTTCAGTTTCAAATTAAATTAGACCCACTGCTATTCAACCGAGTGAGATTTAATTTGTTCTCAAGACTAAAATTGCTCTTTTCTTACATAGAATACTAATTGTTCACAAACAGTACGTCACATTTTTAATTCAGCCAATTTTATTACAAGAAATAATTATTAGATTTTTCCTAAAGAAAAAAATCACAGAAAGCAAATTTAATCAAGGAACAACTTTCTGCTCACACCTACTGCCAAAAGTGATTATTAATTCTGCTTTGGAAATCCATGTGATCGTGCTGTTGAAAAAACAACCACAAAGTCGATGTGTGTGTCCAAGGTTAGATAACCCATACACAATTTACTAACTTTTCAGTCTTTCTTTTTTAAAATAAATGCAAATTCTGAAGATAAATCATAAATTTGTGTGTAAAAATCTTTTTAGAAAATTATTGATTATTTTTTAATAAATGATAATTTTCATGTGATCATCTTGATAATGTGTGCGCCAAAAACATCTTAATACTTTACCGTCAACATAAAGATCTGTATGAAAATAAAGTACAATCCATTGAAACTTTTAACCCTCTCACCACTGTAGACCATAATGGCCTCACCCAGATAAAAGTGTGGTAGAGTTTACTATAGATCCATAGGGGGTGAAAGGGTTAACTGAGATTTATTTTATTAAATATCATCTTAATTTTTTTTAACCATACATATATTGAAGTACGGTTGATAAAGCAGTTACAGCAATATTAACTAACAGCTGCATTCAAATGTAATGTTGTTCTAAACTACTTCTATGTAATTTAGAAGGAACATTTTTCTAAATATTAGCCTTGGCAGAAATACATTTTTTACAGAAAGAGTGTTGAATTCTCGTTATAAAGAAATGTATTTTTCCTGTAATATCTACACAGTCAATTTCAAACACGAAATTATTTGTTTTACTTCGTAGTAAATACAACATGTTTCCATATTAGGAAGTGGTTTAGTAAGATGGAATTGACATTTGTAAATGCTTACCAATCTTCAGTTTAAATCTAGACGGAAAGTAACCAGTGTAAAAGGCGCAAAGGATCAAACCAACATATGTAACTGTTGGTTTAGGTATCTAGACTACTTAAAAAAGGTCATTTTAAAATATAAACATTCAATATTGGGATTTCTGTCCACGACCAGTTAGGTGTTTCAAGCCATCAATGGCCAGATCCCCAGCATTACAGTCAATGATAATTACAGTCAGCAATGTACTTACTTATAAGTCGCTGTCGTTTCTCGTCCGCTCGTTTTTTCCATTCTGGCTCTGATGAGCTTGTTCTGATCTCAGCAGTAGCTGTATTAACAGAATACAGAATAGTTTGTACAAAATAAAACTATAATCTAGAAATGAATTTAGATATATGTTTTATACAATATCAAAGTTTTACTTTATACACAATGTACATATTCAACATTGTTTGTATATAGTGAAGCTTTGATATTACATTTTCCCAAATTGACGAATCTTATTTAAGGTATAGATTTTATACACTTTAACTTAACTTACTCTCTTCAGCGCCAGGCCACTAAATTTGCTATATCCCTGCTTATGCCTTGATTTTATTGCTGTCTATGGAGTTAATCTTTTATCAGCCATGTCTTAGTTCAAAAAACTAAAACACCCTTGCAGGCTATATCCCTTATTTACTGTAGCTCCCATAACTGAATCAATCTAGTGAATTATGCGAAAGTCATACTGATCTGGCAACTCGCTGTTGTTATTGATCAGAAGACCACAGCATAAACAACAGTCAAGAGAATGGTGCTTGATAGATTTTCAGAACAAGATCAAGTTTTATTTTTTAAAATCTGTACCATTTGTTTTAGTATCAATAGCAAGAAAAAAGCCCAAACAACAGTAAAGAGAAAGGCTCTTCAGAACAAGACAAGTATTGACTTTTTTAAATATCTGTACCACTTGATTTGATATATTATCAACAATTAAAATATGTGCTTTTTTAATATAGCTTGTTTCTTGTTAGCCTTGATCAGGTCTACTTTCCAAAATTTGCTGCATCCCTAAAGTCTATACTTTAGAAACATATTTATTAATATCTTTGTAACATTTTTCAGTCCTTATTTATGCATCCCAGGAAAGAAAATTGAATTGTTAATTAACCATCAAGTTATAAACGTATCTCTCATTAAGCATCAGGAAAGTCCTGTATTCCAAACTAAGAACATCTAAGATTTCAAACTTTAGTTTTGTTTGGCCTGAATGAACATACATGTAAAAGATACTGTTTCCTTCTAATCCAAGTAATAGGTCTACACATGGCTAGAAATGTAGAGAGTCAAATGTCTACAATGAAAAAGGGTGGCCGGCCAAAACGAAAAAATAAGCGTGACAAGTCTCGAGGAAAGACGAGGATAGTAGTCTGTGCTGTGATGTGATAATTTTGTAAAATTAAGTTTTATTGTGCCATATCCTTTGATAGCTGAGCACTTGTTTACCTTAAGCTTGCGTGTGAACTAACCACTCCTGCTTTATAGCTAAGCGCCCATGTCACTTTGATTATACATGTATCTGCGCATGCGTTAGAAAATTTTGGTTGATGGGGGTGCTATATATATTTTGTGCTGCTGAATTTTTTGCTGAAATCCACCCTCCCTCCCAGTAGTGTTACTGAGGGTTGTGCTCAAGTTTTTCGCAAATTATATCCTGTTTTTTTTTTTTATCTAGTCTAATGTATAAACTTGACTCATGCTGGAGTCTATATTGTCATCCATATGTACATTTTCGAGGAGAGGGGATTGTTTTGGTATGTGTAATTTTTGATAGATCTTGGGATAAGCATCCTGGGGTCAATAAATTTGCCAGTCTTTGATTGCTTGTTTCTGTTTTACATTACGGTAAGATAAATCATGAAATTGTCCCTTGGGGCAGCAACATACCTGGAAGCAAATTCTGATGCTATGACATACTTGCCACTCTTCCTACTTTAGAGGGAAACTCCTGATTTAAGTCACTAAAACTAACATTTTTAGCCAGTAAATATGCTTAACTATTTTTATATTCTAAGACCTATGCTGTTTTTAATATAGAGAACATGCAATCCTCCCCAAGAAAATTATAAAAACTGGGCAAGTATGCCACGAATGTATTTGTCTTTTTGTCTTTTCAGGGCTAGGAATTGTAAATATATATTTCTAAATGTCAATGTGGTGATACAGTGGGGATCTTGATACCGATATGTAATCCAAAGTTGCTGATAAACTGTATTGCCCAATTATTTGTTTCTCAACTGTTTGAGTTCAACCAACATACCCTGTCTCCTGCATACACACACGCAAGCAGGCATACACTACACACATGGAGGCCCATCCTTATATGACCATAGCTGTTAATAGGACGTTCAACAAAATTAAACCAAACCAAACTTCTCAACTGTTTGAGTTCAACAATCAACATTGGTAAACCTACTTTTTGGTAGAGGAGTCAACTTTTTCTTCATAGCGAATTCTGTTTTCCATGAGGCAGCTCCAGCATCAGTGGAATCGTTCTTGGCTTTAAGCTGTCAACGAAGAACGTGTGTGTGAAATAAATACTGATTTAGATCACCTAGCTTGAGGACAATAACCAAAAATGAAATCTTTATCAATAAGTACTGCCATGAATGTGTAAAGCAACGTAACATTTTATAGTAGAATGGCTCGGCAGTATTTTCATTCCGTAATCAGATGTTTCTTAAATCAATGATATAATTTTTAAAAATGAATTTCAACAGTTCACAAAGCAAGAGGTGGTGAGAAAAATGTTTTATTATTAAAAATATAGGATATTTTATTCTCGATTGATGGACAAGGGGAGATAACACAAACATTTTCTATATGACAGTTTGTGAATTGACTGACATCCCATCAGGGAAAGCTTTAGCATTGGAAGATAACACCACTTTCTTATTTACCGTAAAGCAGGATATTTCCACGGTTATATTTGCGCAGTTTTGCGGCTCAATAAAGTGTTAGAGAAAATATGATTGGCAGAATAATATGACAAGCGTAATAATGTGCTGCTATGATAAACTTCAAAACTGTAATGTCATCATGAAATAGCGCATACGTGGTTGTGACGTTTCATTACACATACAAGAGGCCCAAGGGTCTTAGCGGTCACCTGAGTTATATTATAGGTACCGGTAGCTCAATTTCATTGTTGGGATGTGACGTGGAAATCAACATGTAAACTAAGTGAAATACAATACTTGTCATGTCATCAAAGGATAAGAATTTTAAAAATATTTGTAAATTTTCCCTTTGGAGCCCCACCCTAGCCCCTGGGGATGGGGCAGGAATCCCAATTTCACTGTGTAATACCCTCATCCACCAAAGATGATTGTGACCAAGTTTGAATAATTATCGCAAAGAATGGATAAAATATACCCAAAAGTGTTATTTCCCTATATAAACTATAGTAAACTTTACCCCCTCCCCAAGGGAGGACGGATGGCCCAGGCGTCCTGAAATTTACAATTAAAATAAATCCCCTGATGATTTTTTTATATTACTATAGCACCTCTGAGTCTGGAGAAGAAGATTTTTTGAATATTGGTTATTTTTTTCTTTGGGGCCATGTCCTGGCCCCTAGTGTTGGGGTAGGAATCCCAATTTTACAATTTGAAAACCATCTTCCTCTAATGATGTTTCTCACCTAGTAAGAATAATTTCCAACAGAAAATTGTCAAAATATACCAAACCAAATGTGTTATTTCTCTGTATAAACTATAGATTTGTGAAAATATCAACCACAAAAAGCATGATTTTGGGAAAATAAAGTGATTTTTGCTTTTATCTTTGGGGAAAACACCAGAAATTATCCAAGGGAAAGGGGCATTCAAAAGGACCCAAAATTGACCTTGAAAAATCACTGTGAATGTCCAGTCTCTGCGCTAACCCACTACACAATTCATGTTACTTCAAATGTCTAGATCGCAAATTTATATTCCATGTAAATTCAATTTTCTATTTTTGGGTCAAATCACAAAATTTTAAGCCCGCGTAAATAACCTGCTATACGGTTCATGATCATGGTTACTTTCCTGAATGTTATTGATTTAAACATATTTTAATGCAAAATTTGCAAATGGATTAGGCACAAGTTATTCCAACTTATGAAGTCTTCTCCCAGATTTTTGATGTACATGGCAACATCAATTGATTTTACACAAATCAATAAAGAAGAATGTTAAATAAGTACCTAAAAGACAAACTTTAGTAAGAGTATGTAAGAAATATAAATGTACCGGTGTATCCACACTGTTTTCCTTGCGTAACTTCCTTCTCTCTGCCAGGTCCCTTTTCCACTGTGGAATGGAGGTGGAGTCTGCTGACGGTGGCGTTATGATGTTGAGGTTTGGGGTGGATTGGTGACGGTTGTCCGAGGTCTTCAGCCAGCTAGGAACATACTGGTCCTTTGTGCCTCCTATTTAAATACACAGTGGTCAGTGAATAGTTTTAACATGCTTTGCTCATTAACTCATTCCCCCCCTGAAATTTCATAATGAACTATTCCAACCTTTGAATTGGAAGAGTTCAAATGTGTCTTCAGGGGTGAATGAGTTAATACTTTCTTTCCAATAATTTTACTAGAAGAAAGTTTTGCAGTCAGCAGGTATGCATAAACTGGGTCAGTATTTGTTATTCTAATAATCCTGTTTCCACACAAATGTTATCTGATCACTATTACAGCCATCGCATTGACAGTTTGTTTGTTAAAGTTTTACACCCTTACAACAGCTAAAGTCATAAGAATTTAGTCCTAAAATATGAAGACTATCCTTAACCCATCATGTAACTCTATTTTTACGCATACAATCAACCCTTTCACCACTGTAGACCAAAATAGACTCATCAAGATCAATGCATGGTAGAGTCTACTAAAGTTACATAGGGATGGAAGGGTTAATCAGATATCTGTACTGGACAATCAAGTCAAGAAAGTATTTCCAACCTTGTTCAGTTTGATTTAACAAGGAACAGCTGAATTTAGAGATAAATAACAGAAGTGATGCCGTATCGTTAAGGATGACTTACCTGATACAGGTGTGCGTTCTCTACTTGAGCTAGAACTAGAGCTGTCACCATCTTTTGATCCTGTAGATGTGAGTCTGGTTCGTCGCGTCTCCTGGTTCGGGTTCCCGTTGATTGTGTTCTCACTGCTCTCTGTTGACTCTTGGAGTGGGAGACCATTGGGCGTCTTACGGAGGCGGGGCATATCCGTCCACTGAGGTTTACCATCACCTGGTGTTTTGCTTTGGTTTTCTTTAAAATCAGAATTTGTCATTCATATCCATCATTTCATTTACTTTTACAGTATGTTAATTTTAAAATTGATTATTCACAATATGCGTAAAGAGTAGTTCAGTTACCTCCCTTACAAAACTCTCTCAGGACTAAATCTATGTGTCATTTATATCAATAAGACTTTTCAACACAGAGAATGAATTTCTATTCAACTCCATTTTTTTTAAAAAGAAAGCATCTTGGTAGTACATAATAGAATGTATTTTGGTTTAGTATTATCTTATATTTCATTTCACCTTATCTTGAGTGTTTAAAATCAACATTATCTTTTGATCAAGTAATCTGCATTCAAGACAGTGCAAGAGAATATGATTTAAGCACTGTCAATCAGTTCTTGGATGGAGTTGTCCAGAAATCCAAAAATACAGGGAAGTAAACATCTGTATAAATTTCTCACCTTTTGTGTTGAGAATCTCTGCAGCCTTTTCTCGTTTCTCTGCAGCGGTTTTCATCCATAGCGGAGTTTCCGTTTCCTTCAACTGGTCCAGACTCTCTTCAGACTTTGTACTTGTCTTTCTCAACTTCATATCCTTCAGCCATGACGGTTCTTCCTCCTTGCTGGCTGCCGGCTTACTTCCCTCAATCTCTGGCTTCGACGACTTTGGAGTATTCTTTAGTTGAGGAACATCAAAGGTATGCTTGTTTTCTGTAGACTCTTTTGTAGCGTCATCAAAGTCTAATTGTGTACCAACAGGGCAGTTGGGTCTATTCCTCAAGTTAGGGACTTCAAATGCCCCACCACTGCTCAGCTCAGAGCTGTTACTACGAGGAACCCTAGGGGTTCTCTTTAGTGACGGTAAGTCAAATTTACCCTTACCCTCTGGACTAGCTGGGGGGTCAACATTTACTTTGGGAGTATTTCGGAGTGGAGGTTTATTAAAAGTTTTTTCAGACTCAATTTCCTGACTTTCTGATCGTTTTAGTTCACTTGAGACTGTTTTCAGTGCAGGTACATCAAATCTGCCTTCATTTTCTGGTGAAATCTTTGATCTGCTACTTTCCTCTTCCCTTTGTACCTTCTTTAATGAGGGCGTGTCAAAAATATTTTCAATTTCCTGAGCTGTTTTAACAGGTGATTTTTCACGCTTAGAATCAACTCGCCTTAGTGGTATATTGTAGGGTGTTTCCGTGGCAACAGGGTCAGGTGCTGTATCAACCTCCATTTTGGGGACAGTTTTCAGTTGGGGTTTGGTAAAAAGTTTTTCTGTTTCAGCCTTCTCAGTGTGCCTGGCAGGTTTATCTGGTGCTACAGCTTTCAGAGCTGGAATTTCAAACACATCATTTTTCTCAACAGCTTTTTCTGTTTCTTGAGGTGAAGTTACTTTACGCAGAGCTGGCTTTTCGAATTCAGGAGACACAGACGTTTCCTCCTGTCTGTCAGACCTCTTTGTTGGTTTAAGTTGTGGCATTGGTAATTTGATCCCCATAGCTTTGGGGTCTCTCTTTGGCTCCACAGGGACCATTTCCTCATCAGGAGAGGCTCTGGGTTGTGGAGTTTTCCTTGGCAACATGGGCTGTACACAAACAAAACTTAGTCAAAATATTGTTGGTTAAATATCATTAAAAGCAGAAAAATCAAAATCGTTTTAACATGAAGAAACATTAAACATTTATTTGATCTACGGTATTAGTGAATTGAGAAACGAACAGACATTTTATGATAACGTTTTACAAAACTCATTTCAACAAAACATATTAATTTACTTTTCTTTTTAATATTCATTACCTGTCCTGTATGTGACTCGGGGAATAAGTAAAAATAGTTTTTCAAGGATTTCAATTTCAAGTTAGGTTATCTAAGTGTAACAGTCCAAATTTATCATAATGTGAAATTTCTTTCATTTCTGATAGTCATAAAGTTACAAATTTGATAAAACTTGTCACCGTCCTATCATGGAGGCAGACTCTTTTCTTTTTTTCTTTTTTTCAAATCAGCAGAATTTCCTCTATCTTGCTTTTAGCTCATATTCAATTAATTCATTTTTTTAAAATAGATTTTATTTATATTTTGTCGAACAGAAAATAATGATTTAAGACAATGATAGATTATGTTATGGAGTTCTCCTTCAAGGAAAATACTTGAAAGTTAGGCAAATGTTTGCTTTCTAGCAATGAAAAAGCTTGATCTTGCACGAATAAATATTGCATAAATGCCTGTTTTACTGTAGACAGACCCACCTGTCCTAAACCAGGTAGAGGCATCATAAGGTGACTTGACTTTTTTGCCGGTGGCGAGGTTGGATCCGGAGAACCAGACTTGTCCCCTGTGAAAACTTCTTCCTCCGCACCAAAACCGTTCACCTCAGAGGATGGGGATTGTTTGGTCTCTGGAAAGCAAAGGAAATATACCTGGGTATGTCAAATAGACTCCAAAACATGATATTTAATCAACGGTGACTTTCTGTTAATTTTTCTATCCTGCAATACCACTGACCAACAGCTGAAAAATATATATCTTGTGAAAACTTCATTCTCATTACTTGAATAATTCAGTATGTATTGACAATCAGTATATGATTGTGTAAGTCACTATACCCACCTGTAGTGTCCTGGAAGTGGCTATCCTCGGAGGAGCTCAGGATGTTTCTGACGTTGGTACGTGTGGGCTTGCGTCGCCGGGCCAGAGAGCCTTTCTTTCTGAGAGATGTCTTCTGCTTGCCAATGTTCACATCCAGATGCGACGTGTCCTACAGGATATTTGTCACAGAGGTCAACTAAGGTCGAATCAATATCAATGTGTCTAACAGAGGTCAACTAAAGTCACACCAGTATCAGTCTGTCAAAATACCACAAAGATGCAGAAATTTTCAAGATTCTTGCAAAAATGTGATTGTTGTGTGTGAGGTAAGAATTGTGGAATGTGAATAACTCCGAGCCATCATCAAAAACATCCTCAGTCATTTATCAGCATGTAACAAAAGCAAAAGTCACAAAGGGCTGGCTATGATCACAATCAAGTAGCTAAGCTTTCTACCAGAGTTGTCCTTAATTATCAACTCCTAGACCATCCATTTAAAGGCACAGGTCTTGATAAGTGGTAATTAACTGGTTGATTAACACCTTACATCGCTTTCTTTATTTAATATATTGAACTATGAAACGTGACAATTAGAAGATTTAACAAATTATGACCATCTTGTTAGCAATTTTCAAATTATAAAAAAGAAAATTTTCTTAGAGCCTGTTTTCTTTTCCCGATTTTAAAACTATCTGAGCTAATGTCTAGCAAAAAATTCCTAAAAGAAATGTAATAAAACAAATATCAACAGTCTTGCTTGATACAAGCTTTCGAGTTTAACCTTTCATCAGGGATTGTGTGTGTGGACCTCACCCTTATGTCATATCAATATTTGAGAACTAGAAGTTTGCAGACTTTTGGATGTGACAAAGGTGAGGACCATTCAATCCCTGGTGAAAGGCTTAGCTGGAAAGCTGGGATCCAGAGTGAATGATGATATCTATCTGAATTTAGTTATATAAACATGATACACAACACTCACTCATTGTTGAACCTCTTAACAATTAACAATTACGCTTTCTATGTAGATATTTACCCCAACATCATTGAAGTCCAGACTAGCCTCTCTCTTGAGCTTGCTGTTCTAAAAACACACACAAAGCAGCTATAAATAAGAAAGCAAAGTAATCTAGCTCACACTTCAGTTTTGAAAGTGGTCTCTTAATGCAGGTGGTCTTCAAAGAGAGGTGGGCTCTCAAGCAGGTTTGAAAGCAAGGTAATCTAGCTTTCTTTTCTACCTTATTGTTTTAAAAACACATATAAAACATCTATAAAAACAGTCAAACATATAATAATAAATAATGATAATAATTTGAGGTTCTAATATACTGTTTTATTACAACCTAGTTTGTAGGTTGCTCAAAACAGTTCACAAACTATTTTAAGTGGTTATAGGGCCTTTTGCAACCAGCCAATATCTTTCTCAACTCCCTGGGGAGAATACAGCCGGTGCTGCCATTTCGGCGCTCACAGCTAGCATTCTACAGTTTTAGCACTACCCAACCACATACTCATTTACAGCTGAGTAGACTGGAACAAGCGGAGTAAAGTATCTTGCTCAAAGATACAACACAGTGCTGTGACGTGATTCAAACTCGCAACCCTTCGGTCTCGAGTCCGGCGTCCTACCACGAGACTTCTGTGCCACCCCATATACTCAGAGACAACCTTTGGAATGTTTATAAAGTTGTCACGTATTGCAGGTGGTCTTTTAATAAAGACGGTCTCTCAAGTATAGGATTGAATGTTATAAGACAACGTACTATAGCTCTCTCTTTATCTCGTTTTTCAAGGCATACAATCAGCTATAAATATTGTCCAACTTTGTATTCAAAGATCCATTGTAGCGGGAAGTTTACAACTTGTGTCTTAATTACAGGTGGTTTCTAATACAGATTTAGTTAACACGGAAATAACTGCATTTCGGAGATTTAAAAGTGGTCGCTTATATATAACAGGTGGTTTCTGAACATGGTGGTCTCCTACCACATGTGCATGAATAAAGCTGGTCTATGAATAGAGTTATAAATGTATACTTGTAAACTTGTTAGATATCTTACTACTGTTATGTCAGTTGTTGTATAAAGAAATTCAATATTTGCAAATCTTGAAGAAATGAATAATCATTTTTGCATTCTGATTGAGAGCCCCATTGTAACAAGAGGCCCAGAAGGCCTAAATCGCTCACCTGTTTCTTTTGTTACATGAAACTGACATATAGGTAACTTCAGACCAAATTTGGTAAGTAGAACACAAGACATTTTAACATCTCTTAAACGCTTAAGATATTGCTGTTTAAAATTTAAAATTGTAATTTTAAAGCTTTTAACCCACATTGACCATTGACTCCGGCTAGCACTTAAAGTTTACATTTGACCTCATAACTGTAATAAAGAAAAAGATTTGCACTGCTGGTCTTCATAACATACCCAAGTATCATGACTCTAGACCAAATGATTCTTAGCATATTGTCGTTTGAAGATTTTAACATTTTTTACTCCTGTGACCTTGAAAGTAGGTAAAGGTCATTTTAAAGAAAAAAAATTATAGTACTCCATCCCTGGTACCTACTGGCCAAATATCATGATCCTGGGCCTTATGGAACTTGAGAGGAAGATTGTTAAAGCTTTAAACCCATGTTGACTTTTGACCCCCAACTAGCACTTAAAGTTGACCTTTGACCTCATTACTGTAATTTGGAAAAAGATTTGCACTGCTGGTCTTCATAACATACACAAGTATCATGACTCTAGTTCAAATGGTTCCTAGGATATTGTTATTTCAATTTTGAACATATTTGACCCTTGTGACCTTGAAAGTAGGTCAAGGTCATTTTAATGAGAAACCTTTATAGCACTCCATCCCAGGTGCCAAATATCATGACCCTAGGTCCTCCAGATCTTCAGAAGAAGTCGTTTAAAAGAAAATGTTGACAGACGGACAATGGACGACGGACAACAGACGCCGCAGTACGGCATAAGCTCAAATGGCCCTTCAGGCCAGGTGAGCTAAAAACTGAACTAGCGTAAAAAAAGTTTAAAAAATCTTTCGTCAAGCATATTTTCAAAACTACCGAAATTCAAAAGGAAACCAATTAAATGTTTGTAAAATATACATATGCCCGTCTTCAATTCCTTGCTTTGATGGAAATGGAGCTAAATGCAAAGATTAGAAGCTAAAAACAGAACATATAGGTCACAGTGACCTACATTTGATACATTGGTGTAGCACTCCTATGAAGATCCCAGACGAATGTGTTGGACTTTTAGTATATACAAGTATTGAATCTTAAAGAAAATTCTAATCAAGATGTGGTACATAAGAACCAATGGCAAAAGGGAAACACTTAATGCTTCAATCAATTATTGTGGAGGAATCAATATGGACTATTTACATGTAAAGTGATTATGATCACCTGGTTACAAAAATAAACAATTTTTTCCCTTAATTTTCTGATACGTCTCAAGCTTTTAATTAACAACCTGGCCCAGTATAATTGTCTACATGTAGACCAATTATATTTGTTCAATTTTTTCGAAATATGCAACAGTCAAGTTAATGTTCAAGAATTTCTAATCAGACACCGAAAGGGGCTTTACAAAATATTTTATAGAATAATACAGCAACTAAATTAGCCTTACCTCTGTGATAGCTTTATCATCACATAAATTCTCCATATGTGTAACAAGATCCATTATGACAGCACAAGGAATAATTTGCAGGCATCACAAATTCATGACAAAGGCAAATATTTTGGCATTTTGCCTTGGTTTTCTTTTTTTTCCTCCAAAAATATTTATTTTAGGTGATTTGGTGATGGACGTGATAAACAGAATCTCAAACTCTTATGAATGTATTGTTTGACAATGATTTTGAATTCTTGTGAATAGAAATGAGGACAAAAATGTCTTATGAAACACAGACGATTGACAGCTACTATATATGAGAACTCACCTCTGTTGTACTGTCATCCATGTCGGACAGAACAGCCTCTTTCTCATCTTGGTCATGAGTTTGAGTGTCGGGCTCATCATGATCAGTCACCATCACTTCAACGTTTGGTTCCGGTTCATCCTCTACGATCTCCTCTTCCTGTTGTGGTTCCTCTTCGTCGGAGGTCAAAAGGTCTGCAACTTCGGTTCTAGTCTCCTCTACCTCCCCAAATATCTCGTCAATGGTCTTCTGGTCGTCCGATATCTGCAGTGGTTCAGCTTCCTTAGAACCCTCCTCCTTATCTTTGACTCGGCCTACTCTTTCCTCAAACTGTGTGTAGGTCTTTTTGCTCTGAGCTGCCATAGCGTTGAAGGATGCATCCGTGATCTGTCAGAAGTCATTAGAAAAACCTCAGGTTTCCTGTCATTTAAACTACTGGGATGACGGATTCTTTTTGTGAATTTTCATTCTAACGATTGCACTTCAGAAGTATTTAGTGTAAGAATTTTTAATGTTTTGAAAAAGGACCAGTAGCATATTGATCTCTCAATTGAATTGTTTCAGTAAATATTCACATAATTTTTGAAATTAAGAAATGATTTCTTCATGATCTACTGTTCAGTATTTCCTTTGTGTTATCATGTATTACTGTTGTTTTTCTGACTTTCACTGTCACAGCAAATTATTAACCCTTTCACCCCTAGGTAACTGTAGTAGACTCTACCATGCATTTATGGGGATGAGTCCATTATGGTCTACAGTGGTGAAATGATTAAGATATTCGTCACTTATCAAATATACTTAAATGCTTTATATCCATTATAAAGCAAAAATGAAAGTTTTCAAAATATGAAATCATGTTCTATTTTTTTACCAAAATCATCACATTGAGTTTATTTTTCAAAGACAAGAAATTACTCAATTTTCTATCAATGTATTAATGTTTTAAAAGTAGGTTCGTCTAAAATTGACAGGTAATCAATCTGAAAGTTTTCATATTTAGTAAAGGAATCGAGTGAAAACCATTTTCCATCATATCAGTAGAGGTCTACTCTCTGTAGATACAGTAACACTGAGTAAACATACTCAAGGTTGATAATAATGTTGATTTATGCATAATATTCTTATTCCTGTATATTATTTGCATATGTCAGTTTCGTTTAAACAAAAGCCAGAATCACTGGGACATAAGGATATTGTCCAAGTAAATAAAATTGTTAATTGAAATTGAGAAATATTGAAAGACAATTTTTGTGAGAATCAGTTTTTTAATAAGTCAAAATACTTCAGCACTCACCTTATAGAATTGTTTTTTTTTAAGAAATCAGGGTAATTAATAGAACTTGCATGCTTTCCAGCTGTGAGTTATATGTGCTTAATCAAACTTTTTAAGATTTTCAAGATTTCAGCAAAACATTGTGAATGTGGTATTTAAAATTTAAAACCATGCTTCATGTTTTCATGCCATTGACAGTACATTACAGCGTTGCAACATAAGTTCAAGGAATTATATATATACATAATTAGTGCGATTCCAGTTAAACATCTCAACCATGAAACAAAGAAAATCACTCATACATTACAGGAAGCATTCTAACCCAACATAAAAAGCAACTCTAAAAGTTAGCACAAAAATTTCATTCAGGAAAGAAATAGACTAAAAGCAACTGAATATTAGTGACATTTAGTTGTGTTAATTTGTTGTCAGTTCACTTGTTATAGGTGCATGCATAAGTTAGTAAAATCATTTCATAAACTGCGGAAAAATTGCTGTATTTCTCTACGGCAAATTAGAAATATAACTGACATGTCTAAATCTTGTTTTTATTTAGAGTAAAACTTAGTACCAACATATTTTCTGATTTTGTCCCATTTCCACACCCATCACCTCAACATAAACAGATACTTTTTACAGCATTGAAAAATTATTTTAATTGTTTTTTGTTTTTATTTCTAGCCTCAAAAAAATATTTCTATTTTAGGTAGATTTTTTTATTTAATCTTTTCAGTTACATTTAGTTAAAAAAAAATAATCTTAAAGATATTTAAAAGTTTTCTTTTTTAACCTGGATCAATTGATTTTAGTTTTAAACAAACCTTTGAATATTGAGAAATTTATAGAAAGTAGTAAAAGGATATTTGACATTCAGACTCAGCGTAAATAGAAAAGATTGCTAGAGGTTTGAGAAAAACTTGGAAATTTTCCATCAGTTAACAAACCTGCGGACTTAGTGACCCGGTGGTCAAGATATCATCAATGTCAGCATCAAGGTCGTCTTCTTCCAGACCAGCCAACAAGTCCTCAAAACTCCGCTCCATCGTCTGGTGGTGAGCAAAACATTCTCAAGCACAGGTATCACCATAGAGATCAAGCTCATTCAAATACGCGAGTGTACCAAAACTTGAACAGGTGATTTTATTTTAGTCCGAATAAAAATTTGTATATATTTTATCATGCATCAGTATATGTGATAAGAAAAGTACCAAGGTGTGCAATATAAATGGAACAGCTCAGTACAACAACTCAATGAAGTAGTATCAGATCAGACATAATAAATGTACTTATATTTCATCAGGAACAATTTTCAAGTTACATGCATCAAGGGCCAACTGTACACAGTTAAACTTTATTAGAAAATGTATCCATCTGGACGGACAGACAACAGACCATGCACAGAAGGCAGTCCCAACATTTGAACACAGTTACAATTCCTATTTCAAAATTTCAAATTAATGTATAGTTGAATGGAGACAATAAATTTAGAAATTAAAAAATGTATGAAGAATAAAAACAGGAACACACACAAAATTGGCAAATGTAGATGATACAGTATAAGATATCACTGGGTAAAATGGTGTGAGCAAAGGGCAATAACTCTGTATATGGAAAACAATGTTGAAATTGTAGGTTGCAGAGTTCCAGGCATAGGGATGCACACTCTAAAGGACAGCCTGATAGACAGAGATTGCAGTAGATAGTTTATGGACCAAAAATACCTGGCTTACTTATTCTGTACTATTTTTAATCAGCTAGTACTGGTACTGGTAACAAGAAAAAGACATTTTTCTTCTTATCTTGTCTGGAGAATTCCATCTTTGCATATTGCAGAGTTATCTTCTCTTGTGAGCAGGTATTGATTGTTATGTCATTGGTTTGTGCGAGAAAATTACGTCGCTTTTTCTCAAAAATTGATGACGTAACTCTCACAAACATGTGACGTAACAATCAATACCTGCTAACAAGAGAAGATAACTCTGCAATACGAAAAGACGGAATTGTTACAGAAAAATACTTAATGTTAATGGTTTGACGCTAAAAAACCTTCTGTTAATAACTGATAGGAATTGTTTTCCATAATATAAAGGGCTGCATATATACTGGTGAAATATTTTGCACTACACCTATAGGCACTAGAAAAAGTCTTTATTCTAATGGGAAGGTTTTTAATTTTCAACTAGAAACAAAACGCACCAGGAAAAGCCAATAATCTATTTTAATCGAATTATTTTCTTAGAAACAAACAAAATGCTGATGTTGCATATTAGATGATTTGTAAAAATATGTACATGAATATATATACTATATAAAGTATTATATATATGTGTGTAATAATGAAAATATGATATAAAAGAATATATATATAAAGATATTTTTCCACAAAACATGCTATTGTATATATATGGTGAGAATATTAGGAGAAAAGAGACAATTATAAATTTGGGGTGTGTGATGGGTGTCTATCATTAATATTAGTGCCAGTTTAAAAAGGTTATCAAATATCAGGAAAAAGTGTGATCACTGCATCGAAGTTCAAACCACTGTTAGGTTATTTGGGAAACAAAATATGTGATAACTCAACTCTTTTTAATTCTAATATATAAATATGTAACTTACTTAATACAAAAATCATTCATTCATTAATTAATTAATTAAGAATCACATTCAATACATCATTAAATATTGGAAATTATTCAAAAGCTATGTTTTTAAATTTGCAACCTCTGTAATGATAAGCCTTATACATGTATATACCATGCTGTTCGAGTCATACTCAGCATATATATATGCAAGGAGTTACCAGAGATCCGTTAATTCAATAGAGAACAATTCCCACATACTGGTATCTACTAGCTAATATTATGTATTAACTAGCTTTGCTCTTCTTCACTATTTCGTGTTTGGAAATTCGGCATATTCGTAAATAGTAATCTGTTTCAGTTATTTCCACACTCCAGGTACAGTAGAAAGATTTTACGAGCCTGTTACAGTATTGATTTTTCTCTCTCTCCCGATATCGCCTATAAACATTCCGGCACATGCAACATGCCTTGTTTGTGTTATGTATCTCTAACAATAAAACTAAACAAAAAGATATTTAAAGCGAAATGTTGTAACTGTTTGATCGTACATAATTTTACAGACTATACTAACACAGTTGTTTATAAAATCACATTCATAGGTTAAGTAGTCATGCTATTTCTGTACAAGTGCTTGAAATTCTCACCCTGTTCAGTTTGCCCCGTTTAGGATCTGCCATGTTTTCTTCCCTTTCGGAGGGCCAAGTTTCGTTTGCAAAGTCAAGCAAATTAGGTCGCCCTGCAGGCTGGACAGTGTCCGAATCTGATCCAGAGGTCACTGTCCACTTCTTGAGTGTTGGCTCACTTTCCGATGTCTCCTGTTAACACAAAGTCAAGGTTACATAAAGGTCAATCAAGATTATTACTTTCCCTACCATAGAAATATAGAAAACGGCCAAGGTCAGTCTATATCACTGTGAGAGAGTGGAACTCCAATAGGCCGAAAAATAAAAAAATACTTGTACTTCCCGTGAAAACTATGAGGTCAGTCTACATCACAGAGAGTGGAACCCCAATAGGCCGAAAGTTAAAAGATACTTGTACTTCCCGTGAAAACTATGAAAAAAGTTACAAGGTATAACACAGTGAAGCACTGATCTAAATATTAATGTTCCGTATTCAATTGTCATCACTTGCTTACTGTCAATGGCTAAATGTTTCCATTTCTTAATAATTCCTTTATGCATTTTCCTCAATACATTATCAAACAATACATGTCCATGTCAACTTAGATATTACCATTCATTTATAAAGCCATCATTTCTCTAGGCAAATGGTCTGGCAGTATAATCATTGTACAAGAATTTACTGTATATGTAGACAAACATTATTTTTTCAAAACATCTTTTTTTCATTTGTTATATGGAGTACATTACAGTACAGTATATATACATACTCTGTCTTTTGAATTTCTTGTTCAAAATTGGCGTAAAATTTTACAAGTAACACATTTAAATGTAGTGTAGGTAGATTTACCCAGAAAAAGGGATCTTTAGTAATTATAAGCCATCAATCTGACTCTGATGGTGTGCTAATCTACCTATACGATTCCAGATATACTTGTTCAGTGAAAATCTTGTTTCATCTATTTGGAAAGTTTCACCCAAATTTGTCTGGAATAATGAGGTTCCACCACACATGTAACGAGTGAAATGAAGGTCAAGTATATTCTGCAACATTTCTCACATACAGGTAAATTGACTTATTGATTAATGTTACTGAGGTCAAATCAAACATTAACACAATTAAATGCATTAAAAATATTTAAATCCGCGGAAAACATTATATATTTATACCCGAATTAAATTGTATTTTTCATAATTTCAGAGAATTCAATACATTCCAATTAATTGTTTTTCAAATTATCCTAAATGAGCAAACAGTTATACTTTTTTTCTATGTTTAATTTTATGTTTATTTAAAAACAAATGTGGCAGCATCCGTGTTTTTATTTTCTGAAATCTTTATCACCTGTTTTGCCGACACATGCATACAATACATACAACAATACTGTATTTATCCTAAAAACTCTGACTACAAAAATTACAAATTCATCAGTTGCCAGTGATTCAGACATTGAATGTTTCCTTCAATTCACTGGTACATACTATTGTTAAATGATGGAGTTTTATAAATAAGTAACACTATAATGTGAAGCCTATTATTGGAGCAACCTTTATCCCGACAAAAAAATGGGGCTGAGAGGTTGCAATTCCAGAACCAGGTGCACCTTAATATTGAAAGCAATAATAATATATATATAAGTATATTAATATAACAATTGTAAATGACCTCTGCCTGTCAAGCAGACTTTACCAACAGAGAAGGGTAAGAAGCCCCGGTACCACAGTACAATATAAGGAAATATGGAAGCAAGATTATTTTCATACAGGTTAATTACCAATGCAGTTTTGGAGGAAAAAAATTACAAGAGCATTTCAATTGAAAAAAGGACATTTGTCCCCAGACCACTGATAGTTGAAATGGCTGGACTTACAAAGCTCAACTGCATATAACCATACATTAATACACACAAATTCTACTGTTACCAGAACCACCTACCATATTTGATGTAATAAGGGTATGGACAGGGGTAAATGGCAAGTAAGGCACTGTTAAATTAAACATGTACATAATTTTTCAGGGCAGCATTGGGTTTTTTTCTATACACTTGTGTACAGTCCCACTTTGGTGGCCTAAGCTATCTGTTTCATAAAACCAGCTGAACAATTTTTTGGCAATTTTAAAATTCCAAAAAAAAATATTCCAGAATTTAAAAAGATAATTAACTGAAATATAGTTATATTTCTAAAATCGCTTGGGGATGGGACACCTTTATTACATCAAATACAGTTTAATTAAGCATGACAAATAAAGCGGTTCACAAAGTTCAACAGATACACAGTTCTCATATTAATTTACAAGTCATCTTTCATTATTTAGCCTTCTGCTATAATTGACAATATTAATCTAAGTCAATACATGCATTTCTATGCACCATTCAAATGTGTCATCAATCCTTGTGTACTATTCGTATGTGTCATCAATTCTTGTGTACCATTCAAATGTGTCATCAATTCTTGTGTACTATTAAAATGTGTCATGAATTCTTTTGTACTATTCAAATGTGTTGATTTGTAGAACTCTTCTGAAATGGAGATGCATAAATAGTTGTTAGGTAGCCTGTATCCTTAATACATTAGATATGGCAGAAAGCCTACACAACATTATAGATCAACCCTCACAGCTGTGGATGTACATCCATCATTTACACAATAAAATGACAAAAAATAGAAGTGTCCATTCCAACGAAATGTGTCATGTAAGTTTTGTGTATACCTACATACCAACATGTCAAGCACAATTGTTTCCAGTGAATATGTTGTACAATATTTCTACATCAAAACTAGCAGTGGTGTAATGGTTAACATATGATAAAATGCAATTCAATTAAGGATGGAAACGCATATTCAATAAATATTTATGATGATATGCAATAAAAACTCCATCCAAACACACTCCATAATGTATAATATCTTGGAGAATACAGAATACATTTGGATGAAACTGTGTTGAATACCATCATAGTGTTGAAAAGATGTCTTTAAGTACAAAACAATATTCAACAAAGTATTTCATCTTTCTATATGGTTTCGTTTGGCTCATGATAAATTTAAATAAACTTCTATTCAACCAATGGTGGAACTCTTTTCTATGGTCAGGCAACACATATCAATCAGAAACCATTTGATATTTCCTTCATAATTGAAATATGATGACATGTCATGATTAGAACCCAATTACTCAAGAGGAACAGTCTCCAAATGGTAATCATTCACTCGTAATAGCTCCAGCTCTTCCTGGTTTAAAACAATACTAGTGGTAGCTAGGTTTACCTAATTTTCATAATTTTCATAAAATGGAAATTTAGATATGTATCATTATCAATCCAATTTATTCAACTCTCATCAGTTTTATGACATTTAAACACTATTCTGTAGCATCTTTTCATCTACTGATAATCATTTTGAATCTAAGGACATGTTTTTATTTCAATATCAATAATTGAAAAAGACAACTTAATTTTATTTCACATACATAAAAAGCATTTTATTTGATATGGACAACTGATAATGAAAAAAAAAAATGCCCCAAGATAAATGCAAATTGTCCCCAAGGCCAGGAATCAAACCCAAGCTTACCTTGACCTCAGAGTTCCAACACAAGTTCTCCCCGAGGCCAGGAATCAAACTCTAGCTTACCTCGTAACCTAAGTGGTCTGTCCCTGAAGCCAGGACTGAAACTTAAGCTTATGATTTAACTTAGACTTTAAAGATCCAACACAAGTTGTCTCCGAGGCTAGGACTCAAACTTGAGGTTACCTTGACCTTGGAGGTCCAACACAAGCTGTCCACTAGGCCAGGAATCAAACCCGAGGTTACCTTGACCTCAGAGATCCAACACAAGTCCCAAAGGCCAGGAATCAAACCCGAGGTTACCTTGACCTAAAATAGTAGACCAACGCAAGCTGTCCGCTAGGCCGGAATCGAAACCGAGGTTACCTTGACCTCAGAGGTCCAACACAAGTTGTCCCTAAGGCCAGGACTCAACCCTGAGCTTTCCTTTACCTTAAAGGTTAAACACAAGTTGTCCCCAAGGCCAGGACTCAAACCTGAGCTTTCCTTTACCTTAAAGGTTTAACACAAGTTGTCCCCAAGGCCAGGACTCAAACCTGAGCTTTCCTTTACCTTAAAGGTCCAACACAAGTTGTCCCTAAGGCCAGGACTCAAACCTGAGCTTCCCTTTACCTTAGAGGTTCAACACAAGTTGTCCCCAAGGCCAGGACTCAACCCCGAGCTTCCCTTTACCTTAAAGGTTTAACACAAGTTGTCCCCAAGGCCAGGACTCAAACCTGAGATTACCTTGACCTTAGAGGTTCAACACAAGTTGTCCCTAAGGCCAGGACTCAAACCTGAGCTTCCCTTTACCTTAGAGGTTCAACACAAGTTGTCCCCAAGGCCAGGACTCAAACCTGAGATTACCTTGACCTTAAAGGTTCACCACAAGTTGTCCCCAAGACCAGGATTCAAGCCTGAGCTTCCCTTTACCTTAGAGGTTAACCACAAGTTGTCCCCAAGGCTAGGACTCAAACCTGAGCTTACCTTTACCTTAAAGATTCAACACAAGTTGTTTCCGAGGCATTTATAGGACTCAAACCTGAGATTACCTTTAGCTTAGAGGTCCAACAAAAGTCGTCCCCAAGGCCAGGATTCAAGCCTGAGCTTACCTTTACCTTAGAGGTTCAACACAAGTTGTCCCAAAGGCCAGGACTCAAACCTGAGCTTACCTTTACCTTAGAGGTTCAACACAAGTTGTCCCTAAGGCCAGGACTCAAACCTGAGATTACCTTGACCTTAAAGGTTCACCACAAGTTGTCCCCAAGGCCAGGACTCAACCCCGAGCTTTCCTTTACCTTAGAGGTTAAACACAAGTTGTCCCCAAGGCCAGGACTCAAACCTGAGCTTACCTTTACCTTAGAGGTTAAACACAAGTTGTCCCCAAGACCAGGATTCAAGCCTGAGCTTCCCTTTACATTAGAGGTTAAACACAAGTTGTCCCCAAGGCCAGGATTCAAGCCTGAGCTTACCTTTACCTTAGAGGTTAAACACAAGTTGTCCCCAAGACCAGGATTCAAGCTTGAGCTTTCCTTTACCTTAGAGGTTAAACACAAGTTGACCCCAAGGCCAGGACGAGGTTCAACATAAGTTGTCCCTAAGGCCAGGACTCAAACTTGAGCTTACCTTTACCTTAAAGGTTC